GACAAAATAAGTCACATATGCAGCATGTCAGGTGGTGATAATGAAGAGAAAACCACGCAGAGAGGTGGAGCAGGGAACCAGAGTAGGAGTGGGGGATTGTCAGGGACTGTCACTTCACAGACAGGAAGAAGGCTGAGAGAGCAAGCCATGTGGCCATCTGAGGAAAAGTTCCCCATTGAAAGCAACAGTGTGTGTGCAAAGGCCTGAAGCAGTGTGAAGCAAAAGCATGCCTGAGAAACAAAGAGAAGGTCAGTGTGAATGGAATAGAGGACAAGGAAATGGTAGGAGTAAGGCCAGAGTGAACGTATGGCCCTTGGAGGCTACTGTAGAGACTGTGGCCAAGTAGAATCTTGAACAGAAAAGTGACATGATTTGCAAGAGCAAATCATTTATTTCCAAGAGGAATAAATTAGAAGGTAGGGGATGAGGGCAGAAGCAAGGAGACCATTTCAGGGTTAATGAAATAACCCAGGCAAACCAATATTTATCAAAATAAAAAAAAAAAAATAACCCAGGCAACATGAGAGGGATTTGGATCAGAGTGGTACCAGTGAAAGTGGTGAGAATGGCTGTATTCTGGCTCTGATTTGAAGGCAGAGTTGACAAGATTTGCTATTGTACAGGATACAAGTATGAGAAAACAAGGAATTGAAGATAAACCAAGGTTTGTGGCCTGAAAGATGGAGCCATCTGGCCTAGTTTCATTTCACACCAGGAGGAAACTGAAGCCCAGGAAGGAGACAAGGCATGTCTAAGGTCACACCTTAGGACTGGGACTGGAACCCCCAACAAGTGCTTCTCCCACTGTCCCACGCTGTAGCTCAGCAGAAGACAATGGTAACCACTCAGGTGCCTTCCAGCCCCTCTCAGCTCTCTGATGCTGAAGAAGAAAGTGCCCCCTCAGAGATGGCCAATCCCCACACACATCATGTAAATCAGAATAGGATGCTGGTGAAAGAAAGCATAGGCCCTGATCAGAGAGGGGCCCATGGTCACCATTCAAAAAGACAGACCTGGTATGACCAGAAATTCCCATTTTTTCCCAAAGAACCCCAAAATCTACATTTCTGAAAAAAGTTATCTATTTTTACAAGGTGGTTTAATTGTCTACTAACATGAGGTTGGCCAAGCAAATCTCATGTGCCCACCAAGTTCTATATGGTGTCCATAAAGGGCACCAGCCTGGAGCCAGTCTCAAGACAGCCTAAAACAGATCTTATTCTCTCACATCTCGACCAGAGCTAGGGTATGGAACTAAAGATTTGGGCTTAAAATGGTATTTTATTTTGGCTTTTGAACCAGCAAATGATATTTGTTATCACTATAAATGGAGTGGGCAGGCACAATCTTTTTTTTTTTTTAAAGATTTTATTTACTTATTTTTAGAGAGGGAAGGGAGGGAGATAGAGAGAGAGAGAGAAACATCAATGTGCGGTTGCTGGGGGTTATGGCCTGCAACCCAGGCATGTACCCTGGCTGGGAATCGAACCTGGGACACTTTGGTTCCCAGCCGCGCTCAATCCACTGAGCTACGCCAGCCAGGGCGGCAGGCACAATCTTAGTGGACTTCCTCTCTGACCAAGAAGAGAGTAAGTAGCTGCCCATCATTCTGGGTTGGTAACTTTGGTTTTATATCATTCTACTTAAAGTACTAAGACCAGCTCACTAGTACAATACAATCTTGCAAATAGTCACTGACCCAGGAAACAACTTATGTCAAATATAAAAATGACAGTATGTTGAACAAGGTTTGGGAACTGGCAACTGTTCCCGCCTTTTCAAAAAACTTAAATGTAGACATTACTAAACTTTCTTTATAAAGTTGCTTCCCATTGCAATACAGGTGGGAGATACATGTCACTTATAGCACTTAATGGAAGCACACTAGATATGTCTGGTTTTCAAACCTGGAAGTCAGGTTGCCTATTTCCAGACACTCATCAGAATTTATCAGGCTCAGAAAACAGCCCCCTACGAAGTACTCAAGTTAATTTTCTCTAATCCTAAATGGCCCTTTTGCCCAGGATCTCTCACTTTGAATAAATATTTACTTCCCCTACAAGCCATATGTTTTTTGCCCAATAACTATTTGTATGTGTGTGTTGGTTAGGCCATTTTTACACTATTGGAATAAAGTAAGAATCTCTCCAGGGCAGGGCCCTATCTGTGTTGCCCACTCACCCTCCTTTCTTATTCTTGGTATGCAATTTACAATGCACCCAAACAGCAGGGTGCATTATAAGACATCCTGTTAGTTTGAAGCCCATGAACTGCCACTGGTCAGCTGTTTTTGACACAAAGAACAGGTAATTCCATATGGCTCAATATATCAATACTTCTAAATGGTCCAGAGGAACAGACTTAAATTATTTTTTAAGATTTTATTTATTTATTTTTAGAGAGGGAAAGGGAGGGAGAAAGAGGGACAGAAACATCAATGCGTGGTTGCCTCTCGCACATTCCTACTGGACACCTGGTCTGCTACCCAGGCATGTGCCCTAGACTGGCAACCAAACCTACTTGATTTGGAGGCCAGCACGCAATCCACTGAGCCACACCAGCCAGAGTGAAACTTAAATATTTAATAGAATACAAACCATCTCTAGACTACCACTGTTTAAGAGAATGTCCAGTGATGATGGAAATGATCTAAATCTCCACTGACCAACACGTAGCTACTGAGCATCTTGAAATGTGGCTAATGTGACTAAGAAAATGAATTTTAAATTTTATTTAACTTTGTTTTAAGTTGGAATAGTTTTATGTGGCTACCATGTTGGACAACAGTTTTCTAGACTGTAGCTTCTTCAGATAAGAACTAGGTCTCACTCCTTTTTTTGGTGTGATATTTACGGTGTTTGAAGGCACAGCACACATGAGATGCTTCAGAAAGAAATGAAATTAAAAGTACCTTCTTGCACTAACACAGTTTCAACTGACTCTCCACCTTCCTTCCATTGAAGCTCTTAATTTAGATCTTCTAATTCCATGTCCTCCCTTGGATAGTTACTGTCCCAGCAAGTATGGAATTAAATGTCCCAGTAGGTGAACATTAAGGCCATACCCACATCACCTAGCCAGTGGGCAATGGGAACTGGCCTGTCAACCGCCTGACCAGCTGGGTCTCTATGTTGTCATCTACAGAATGGGGACAACCATACCTATTTACAGAATGGGGCTGTTGCAAGACCTAGGTGTACGTCAAAGTACGGAATCTGATTCTAAAGAGTAAACCTTTAAAATAAAGTTGGGCTCAGCTTCACTTGTCCAAGAAGATACAAACAACTAATGAGACTATAGTAATAGGTACTGTGGTCCACCTCATTTAGTCAACTATTGTTAAGGGCTAGCACAAGGCCTTGACTGTTGGCAGTCCAGGACATACAGATGAATAGCACAGTCCTGCCATCTAATTCTGACAGATCATTTTTTTCCCAAAACAAAATTTTGGCAAAGAAAAATCTGGTGTCTGGAAAATACTATTGATTCCCTGCCTATGTGTCATTTACCTATTAGTTTAAGCTCTCGGGAATAAAAGAGCAAGTAAGAAAAGTCTGGGGTCCTGAGACTTTTAAAAGTGTTCCTGATACATAACAAACCAATATTCCAATTAAATCACTTGTATTCAACTACTTAAATGAATTTGGTGCTGTGTGATTACTGCAGTTTGTTGACTTAGGTGTCATTCCAGCAAAGAGCAAAATTGCTTAAATGTGACTCAATGATTTGGGATTTATTTAAAACTCTCCCAACACCAAAAATATTCCTGCACAAAGATGCCACTAACTTCTTAATCTCTTCATAGATGTTCAGACGCCTATTCCTTACCATGAAAGAATTCTGTTACAATATACTCCCTCTATCTCTACCCACTGGACTCTCTATCTCCAAATCCTGAGACACCTTTCCTGCCCCCCTTCTGCCCTCAACAGGGACCAGAAGCCCTGCAGGCCAAGTCTGAATTGATCTAGTAAAGGGAAAACAATCTACTAGGTCTGTCCCCACCTTCCACCCTTTTCTTAAATAGAGAGGGAAGGGACAGCTCCAGGACCTCAGAATCAGAAGCTACTTTCTGGAAGGGAAAAAGGTTGGCAGCCCACAGTGCAGCTGACCTTCAGAAAGTTCATAAAGGAACTGAGACATCACCACAGTACACAACTTACAGCAGGATCACCAAGACTTCTCTGGTGTCAGATTAACAGGAAGTTAAAATGACCAAGCACAAAGATAAAGTGTAAAGCAGGAGGTAGGGTCAGTGGAAAATACACAGTCCACAAATGCATAAGGACAGTGTAAAGTATGCAGCTGCCCTTCCTGGGAGTGCTGGACAAAAAGACCTGAGCAGCAGTGTTCTTGAAGAAATCTGTAGCCTGAATGTGAGGCCCAAACTCCAGAAATGGCCAGCGAGGTCCCCACACCCTGAAGACTTCAGCATGCTAGGCAAACAGTGATGTGGAAGACTCCCAAAAACCTTCAAAGTTTCATTTCCTTGGTGCTTCCTAGTCTCTGCTCACCTCCGACCTCCAGGAGTTATTACCCAACTGCCTTCTGTTTGCACAAGGTCCCTGTTTTATCCAGCACTTGCCTGGGAAGCTGCCCAGCTTCTCATAGTAAATGTGTTTTACTATCTCCAGGCTACAGATAACGAAAACCAGGTTCAGAGAAGTTAAGGGACAGGTTCAGAGGGTCGGTAAGTATGGCAGCACAGGGGTGAAATCCAGCCCTGCAATTGCAGCAGGCAGGATGGCGCCAGACCCAGACTCCACTTCCCTTGCACGCACCACACGCCCCTAAAAACTCATCCCAACAATAACGGCCAACACTTGTTATCTACTCCCTACGTGTGCTGGGTCTTCACTGATTTTTCTCTTAAGTAGCAACATCAGCAGCCGTATTTTTCACACAGGTTAACTGGACACCCGGAGAGAAACAGCTGGGTCGAGGTCATCCTCAACCGTGCTGAGATTTCAGAGGCCCCTCCCTTAACCATTACAACATACCGATCCACCATCTATGATCTGTAACCTGGGGAAGGGTCCGTGAAGCTCCCCGTATGCTCCAGTGGAAGTGCGGACCCCAGCTTGCTCTCCCCTGCCCCAGGAGACCAGCAGGCCGGGACGGGCGCCAGGCCGAGTGCCAGCGTGCTTGGCCGACCGGGCCGGAGATGCTCGCTTCCGCCCGGACCTGGCAACGCCGGCCCATTCATCTTGGCACGGACAGGCCGGGCCAGGCAGGGCCCGACGTACCCCTGTCCCCAAGCCGAGCGCCCTGGAGCTGAGCTCCGTTCCGCCGGGCCTGGGAAAACGATGCCCCCAACCCCACCACCAGGGGGAGCAGAGAGCCTCCTCTTGCACTCCGGGAAGTTGCCACGGCGGCCGCCCCGGAGTCCGGACCCCGGACAGCCCTCGGTCCCCACACGGCCCCACACGCAGCCCTGCGTCCCAGGCCCGTCCAGACGGGGGCCGCTCTGCCCCCAGAAGCGCCTCCAGGTCGCAGCCGGCAGGCAGGCGCGCTCCGCTCTTGGGCCCCTCATTCAATCCCGCCCTTCTTCCCCCCCGGCTGGCCTCCGCTGCCTTCCGCTTGTCCCGCCCCCCCCTCCCCGCCCCAAGCCCAGACTCCTGCCCGGCAACGTCATCCGGCCGCTTCCCGAAACTTAACCCTTTCCTCCGCCAGCTGTGCGCCGCCCTGCCCCGCCAACAACTTTCTTTGCCCAACTTCGGAGCGCTCGGGCCAGCCCGACGGTCCGCCGGGGAGGGATGGGTCTCCACGTCCCGCCGCTGGGCCGCCGCAAGTTTCCCCGACGGCAAGGGGAGTAGGGTCCACACCGCGGGGCGCGTTCGGCCCACGCCCGTGCACGGGGTTCGGCCGAGCACACGCCCCAGGGGCCCGACCCAACCCCGAGGGTCAGCTGCCACGGCGACGGCTGGCGGCGCCGCCGGGGGAGGGGCCGCCAAGGAGACGTGTCATTCGCTGCGCGGCGGGCTCCGGCGCCCCGACGGCCCGGGCCGCACGCCGTAGCCGCCAATACTGGGCCCCGCCAAGTTTCTTACCTGCAGCCAGAGAAGCGGGAGGGAGAGCGTGAGGGTAGGAGCCGCTGTCGCCGCTGCGAAACCGGGAGAGGTGTCGGCCAAGCCTCCGCCGAGAAGACGCCCTCGAGTACTTGCAGGCGCCGCGACCCCGACGCCGCCCGCCCCGTCTGCCGTCCGCTCTGGCCGTTAGCTGGTTGCGTGCGCGTGTGTGGAGTCGTGGCACTTTCTGCCTAGGAGCTGGCGAACGGCCCCCTCCGCCGGGATCACCGCCTCCTGCCTTCCCCACCCGGGCCAGCCATTCATCGGGCCGCCTCTCCCAATTGGTAGGCGTCCCGCCACTCCGCCGGTGCCTGACCAATTAGAGTGCGGATAGCCAAGCAGCGGCGGCAGCCATTGGGCAGAGAGGAGGGTCTCCTCCTCGACCAATGAGAGAGGGGAGGAGCTGCGGAGAACGGGGAGGGCGAAGCCGGGGAGGGCGGGGCCGCGCGGCGCGGCGCTAGTTCCTGCGTGGGGGCGGGACGGGGCTGGACGCCCGGCCAAGCGGGGGAGGGGGTGTCGACTTGGCCACGCTAACTCCGAGATCGTCGCGCTGCTTTTAGACGCTGATTTGAAGTAGGCTCTACCTTGGAGGGTGGCGAAGGTTCGAATCCCGGCGGCGCTGGGCCTGTGTCCCTGTACCTCGCCGGGCTTAGGTGGCAGTGGGTATTGTAATGAGTAGGGCTGCGCAACCCGCCTACAGCCGGGAGAAATGCTTTATTGAAATCCAACTACCTCCACAACAGCGCCCACTCTAGGCCCCAGGTGTGACGACAGGCTCCGTTGTGGATAGACTAGGAAAGGCGAGTCCGTTTCTTCAGAGACTGCCATCAGCACCAGAGATTTTCTTAAGTAAAGGGAGGAATTGGGTGAAAAGGCCAGAAGGTGCACAAGGAATGGATGGTGCACAAGGAATGGAGGGACGTTATTGCACTCATTTTTAGGGTACAACTGAAGCATAGTCTGTTTAGAGTTACTCATCCAAACCACAGCTGGCAGAGCAATAATTACAGGCAGCCTTAGGGCTTTTACTCCGTGCATTGGGGAGGGCGAGAGGGCCTGAGTCAAGAAAACATCCATTTCCCAGAAAACTGAGCAAATAGTACTTCCTCATTGCATGACGTTATCCCCCAATGTAAGTCAACACTCTCTCTTTGTAACCAAATGGGTGTTTCAAATAAGATAATTCGAAGCCTGTTTTTTTTTTTAACCGTTATATCAGTCAGTGTCTCTTAAAGCTAACCCCTTGAACTTGAGCCAAAACTAATGTCTTTGAAATGAAGGTTTCTGGAGGTCAAAAGGGCTGTGGAGTCCTGATCTGCTGCACGTGACTTCCCTGGCCCCTGTGGCTGCAGAGTTCTGTTTCTAATATCAATCTCTTGGACAATTTCACATATCCCTGCCCCCACTTTTTGTCACTTGTGCTGTACTAATTGGTGTGAGGACTATGTGGAAAATATAAGCTGTCATGAGAGAATGAAGAGGAGCTGAGTTGAAGTAAAACTGTTCATTCCTATTTTTAATCTCAGCAGTTCCTTACATATTGATGATTAATCAATGGGAATTAACTGGATTAACTTTCAATACCCAGTCTTTTTCCAGTGATGATCTCTGGCTTGAAATAAAAGCCAAGAAATCCCGCTTTTTGGCTAGCATATGCTATCATCTAGTTCTAATTGAGCATGGGTAAACCACTGAACTCTCTAAAAATAGGTGTTCTCCTCTAAGACAATCATTGCCCCCTCTGGGTTTCAGAGAGGAAATTCATCCATTAATTTGTGTTTATTGACTGCCTGTAGGCAAGCAGCCTAGAGTGATGACACTGACCCCGCAAAGACCCAACTGCCCACAAGGGCCTTTCTGTGGACAGAGACGGCCTTTACCTTATTTACTATTTAGGTTTCTCAGAAAGAGATCCTGACAGGAGGATTTAGGTTCAAGTGACTCATTTTGGGGATGATCACAAAACAGTAGTAGTGAAATGGGATGAGAAGGAGCTGATAAAGAGCACAAATCAAGCAAGTGACTGCTGTGGACAACCAGGGCTCACTATCTCTGAGCATTCAGAGACCTGTGAGTACACACCCCAAAGATGTCCTATCTGTGGGGTGAGGAAGTGGGTTATTTATTTACCCACCCACTCCTATCAATCCACTGGTTGAGGGCCACTTCTGGGGTACTTGAACTCATTTCCATGCCCTGTCAACCAGAGCAAAGCATCAAGAAGCCCTTGGTGGAAGGTGAATGCCTAGAGGACTGGAAGCAGGGTGGGGAGGTAGGGGAGGAGTGGTCACAATAATGGCTTCTCTGACCCAGCACTGCACCAAGTCAAGGCTCAGTAAAGACATGTTCCATAAATATTAAATCAATTATGGGATTACACTAGGAGTAAGGGGTGTTTACTTAAAAGGGGCTCTTTGTTCCCTCCTATAATTTAACATTGGTTTGGCCTCAAGAGAACATGGGTTCAAATTTGTAAAGGTAGCCTGGACTGAGCCTTCACCTTTCCTCCTTCCTTGCCCCTTTGTCCTCCCTCCACCAGGCTCCATCAGGGCCAGTTCATCCCCCACCTCAACCACCCACCCTCTGGCCTGGCCTGGCCACTGCTGTGCCCCCATGGACTGCCATCCTTGGCCCTGCTCAACCTCATCAGCATGTTTTAGCCTTGCTCTCTCCCAAGTTGTATCAGGGGAAACCAGAACTACCCAGGACTACATAGGCAGGATGCCTATGTGGAGAAGTAGGGGCTTCCCCAGGCTCAGAGCCTCTGGCCCTGCTGTATCGTCTACTGCATGTGTGTATCTGCCAAATCACACAGCCTTCTATGGCAGAAGAGAATGCCCATCACAAAGTCTGGCCTCCAGACTTGCCTGTTCAGTGCCAGGCACCAGGCTAGAGCTTGGGAAACAGGTCCCTGCCATCCCCCTGGATGACAGTCCAGTGAGGTATTGTCATGTTTGAACAGGTCAGAGAGAAAGAGGAGCCCATTGAGAGGGATGGGCAGGAGCCGACAGGGGTGTTAACACAGACTGAGGACAGTAGAGGGGGTGACAGCAGAAGCTTGAAAGACAGGTGGAGTTAGCCAGGTCCAGAAGTGAGTGAAGGATCCACCTGGTGACAGAACAGCCTGGGCAAAGGCCTGGTGATCTCAGCATGATGCTCAAGGGGCAACTACAAATTGGGTTTTGCCAAAGCCTGAAGGATGAAGGAGAGGTTAAGAGATGAGTCTCAAATGGTGGTCATAATGACAGAAGGGAACTCTTTTGGAGTAATGTAGATATCCCATATCTTGGTCACAGTGATGGTTACATGATCAAAGTATACACTCTTAAAAAGGGTGAATTTAGTTTCTAAGAAAATTATACTGCAATCAGCCTGACTCAAAGAACATACTGTGTTTTAAAACAAATAAAGCATTTTTATTAGGAAAAACTAAACATACAAGAATAATTACCTAGTATGGTTCATTAACTCATGACAGTGCTTTGCTTTTTATTACTAAATTGCAAATATTATTTTAAAAGACTAGGCAGAAAGATGAGAATATGTTATATTTTACAGTGTAAAAAGAGGTTTTGCTTTATCAACAACTCTGAAAGGATGATAAATGGCAAACAGAATAAAATGCCATGTGGTAAAAAAAATCATCACAATATATAACATTTTTAGGTCTTAGGTACTAGGCACTATTCAAGATGTCCTACAAATAAGTAAAATTATTTGACCCTCAGATCAACCCAATGAAAGAGATATAGTTATTATCTTCATTTTAGAGATGAGGAAACTAGGCACAGAGAGGTTGAGTAATCTGCCCAATGTCAGAGGAGTGCTGGTCAGAGGAGGGTTTGGCCCTAGGGTTCAACATATAACTACTGCATTTGGTGCCAGATCTTAGAAGGTGTGCTATGCCTGTGTGTGGGGTGGGGGGATTGGTGAACCTTTGGTGGTAGTGACTCAAGGAGGGGTTTGTCATCAATTACAGGCAAGATCACTCCCTTGGCCCTCTTTCATGGGTCATTGTGATGTTCAGTTAGGTTGTGGATCCACTGGGTTGGTAGTCATTGCAATAGCTGAGGTGACAGAGGCTTGAACAGGCCAGTGGTAGAGTGGGAGGTTCAAGGGTCCTTCATTAGAGATATTTAGGAAGTGAGGTAGGTAAGGCTTGGAAACTACAAACTGTAAGGAATAGGGAAGAGTCTCCTGTGAGCCTCTGTTCCTGGCCTGAGTGACAAAGGACATAGTGGTGTCACTATAGGGGCAGGACACACAGATGGATGAACAGGTTGGGGTTGGAAATTGGGGAGGATGTTGTATGTTGTTTTGACATGTTGAATTCCAGGAGTTTGAGAGAAGTCCATATGGAGATATTGTCTCTGTGGATCTGAAGCTCAGAGTTGAGGCCAGTGTGGGTGATACAATTTGGAAACCTAAGCACATAAGTGGAAATTAAAACCTCAGAAATGAAGATGATCATACACAGCCTGTGGAGCTGGGAGCTGCATGTGGATAGGGACAGGAGAAAGCCAAGGCTTAAGTCCTGAACAGAGAAAGGAAAACCCACAAGAGTCTGTAGCAGTCAGCTTTTGCTAGTAACAAACCACTTTAAAACTCAGTGGCTTAAAATAATTACCGTTTCTTATTAGAGCTCACACATCTGTGGGACAACTGAGGTTTGGTGGCTCTTGGCTGGTTCATGCATTGGTCTTTGGATAGGTTAGGGGTTCACCTCTGTTCTGGATTCAAGTGGGGCAACTTAGGAGCTCTGCTTCACTCAGCTCATGCCCTTCTCCTGGAATAAGCACTTCTTCTGGTAATGGTTGAAGAAAAAGAAAACAAGTAGAAATACACAAGTTCACTTGAAGGCTTCAAACTCTGTCACTTCTACCTCATTCTGTTGTACAAAGCATGTCACATGGACAAGCCCAGATTTGAGGGGATGGGAAATATAAACCAGGGTGAAGAAATGACACCATGGATTCACTCTACCACTGAGTCCAAGAAAGAGAGATGGAAAAGTTAAATCAGGAGAGGGTGGGTTTATGGAGGGGTGAGTTTGAGGAAGTGGAGAATGGTAAGCACTGTTAAATGCATCTTGGAAATCCAGCAAGATAAAACTGAAATATGTGTGAAACATTCAGGAGTCACCAGTTTTAAACAAGGCGGTAGGTGACAGGGCAGTCACCAAATTGTGGAAGGCTGAGAAATGAACGGGAGGGTAGAAGGTAGAAGCAATATGCATTTATTCATTCAACAAATGACTCCATTCAGTACCTACCACACTGTTCTA